AACCATTTATTCAGCAGTGATGGAAAACCTTTTTAAACGTTTGGAAACATATCCTAGTGAAGCCCAAAAAGTAAAAATAATGAGGAAAAATATTTTAGTGGACTACATTTCACTGATAGCTCTTCAAGATTTTGCTACGGTAGAAATGTTAGTAGCAACTATAAAACGTTTAGAGCAAAATGTCCTGCCCTTGTTGCAGACTACTAAAGGTCTTGCAGGTATTGCAATTGACGATTCAAAAAAACCCAAAGAACAAGTTCATGTGGTGAAGGATCAAAACAAGCAAGATAGAAGTGGAGTATGTAACAGACAGAACAGAGAAAATTCTGTATCTAGGAGACCCAATCCCAAATATAAGTATGAGAATAATAGACCCAGTCCACCAGAGAATACTAAAATGAGAATGCAATCTTTTTCGTCCCCACCTCCATTAATGCAGTCAGTCCCTTATCAAACTCCAAGAAATCCGAAAAAAATAATTTGTTTCAATTGTAATAGACCAGGTCATATTTCCCGTGACTGTAGAAGTAAGTCAGTATCTTGCTGGCGTTGTGGTCATAAAGGTGTGATCACATCTTCTTGTCCTAAGTGTAGTATTTCTAATAGATCTAAGTCTAATAGACCTTACAGGCCATGTTTGAACCCAATTTTTGAAAAGAAAGATTTTGATAGTCGTCCCCATGTTAATTGTTTAGAAGTTAATGTAGATAGAACAGACCCTTGGTTTGACAATTTGAGATCAAAGATAGTCCGATCCCCCCTTGATTTTCCACAGTGGAAGGTGGAGAATGATTTTGTTTATAAGTTTGCCCCTACCAAAAATTCTTTTAAGACTAATGATGTAGAGTGCAAAATTCTTCTGCCCAAACCACAAAGGTCTGAAGTTATGAAGTCTTGTCATGAGCCACCTACGTGTGCTCACTTTGGATTTTCCAAAACTTTGTCCCGTATTCAGGAAAGATATTATTGGCCCCAGATGCGTGTTGATGTGCTTAAGTTTGTCAGGTCATGTAAAGTTTGTGGTGCTCAGAAGACACCAAATTATGCTCCATTAGGTAAAATGGGTAAGCAGAGAGAGGCCAAGTTTCCTTGGCAAATAGTTGCAATAGATCTGATAGGTCCCTTTGTTCGTTCAAAGAAAGGTTATACGTGGTTATTAGTAGTTGCTGATTGGTTTAGTAAGTATACTTTAGTCCAACCTTTGAGAAAGGCCACGGCTAAGAATATTGTTGAGTTTTTGGAAAATGATGTTTTCCTAATGTTTGGTGTTCCTCAATATGTGATTTGTGATAATGCCTCAAATCTGAACAATCCTCTCTTAATTGAGCTCTGTAATAGGTATAACGTTCAGAAAGTATGGTTTAGCCCAGTATATGCACCTCGGTGTAATTTTGTGGAGAGGAACAATAGAACCATTGGTACAGCAATACGTATGTATGTTAAAGACCACGTAGATTGGGACAAGAATTTAGCAAAGATCAGACAAGCTATTAACACTGCAAAGCATGAAGTGACTGGATATACTCCAGCTTTCCTGAATTATGGCCGTCATGTTCCTTTAAGTGGAAACTATTATGGTGTTGATCATAAGGATCAACAGAATCAAGATATCGAGATAATTCCAGGTGACCGTAACATGTATGCTTCAGAAGTCAAAGGTTTAGATAAAGTTTTTGAAAAGGTTAAGGCTAATCTTCGAAAAGGATATGAACGTAACGCTAGGAGTTACAACTTACGTAGAAGAGAAGTCCAATTTCAAGTGGGTGATAAAGTTTGGAAAAGAAATAAGGTTTTGTCTTGTGCTGTCAACAAGTTTATGTCCAAACTAGCACCAAAGTATATTGAAGCAACTATCAAGGAAAAATTGTCACCACTGGTTTATCGTTTGTCAGATTTAAATGGTTCAGATCTTGGTAAGTGGCACATTAAGGATTTAAAGCCTTTTGTATCAGATGAGGACAATATGTCATATTTAAGTAATTAGTTCATCCTATCCCATGTCTATATATTTGAGTTTGTATGTTGATTTGATTTCATCCTTTTGGAATATTGTTTCGCTTTTGATAATTTTAGTTCAGAAAATCTATTTTGATTGAGAGACACGTGTGAGAATCACATTTTGTCATATGTAGGTATATAGATTTAGGGTCTATATCCTAATTTTTTTGTGGAACCGTTGCCGAATTCCCTGTCTCGCTAGGCGTATAGTGGAGATAGTAGACGCCTACCTGTTAAGTGTAGAGCAATTTTTTTTGGATTTGTGTATAGCACCTGATTTAGGCAACGAGGTGTCATGGCTATGCCTGCCCGACAAATCGCTTGTGTTACTGCTGTGAATGTCAGCGAGGTTCACTGCAGGGCATAAAGTTAGCTTCCCCCAAGGCACAGAAACTCATGTCACCTACAGTTCAAGTAGAGTCACAAATTTCAGTCTACTCGACGTTAAAGAGTCTGGCGATCGATGGCACGCTAGCCCATTCTTTGTAACTAACTTTGTTTTTGTTGTTTAATCCCATGCTAGCCATCATCTAAAAGATATTATTAAGAAGTTTCGATTCAGTTAAGAGGTCATCTTCTGATTTGGTTTTTGTTGTTTTGCCTTTATCAAAAACTGGATAAGAATTATCCGAGTTTTTTCTTTTAAGAAGGGGCATTGTAGCGTTTTTTTATTTAAAGTATATAGAAAAGATTTCTGTGTTACGCTCCTGTTGTTTTTACCAAAGAAAACAATCGAAATAATATTTCAAGTTTTTTTTGACGAGATTTTTAAATGCGTATTAACGCTGGAAATATGTTTTTATCTCTGTGTTGCAATGTTAGGTAAAATAACAAGTTTTTTGTCGCCAAAATGGTATTATGTTAAAACGCAATAAACCATGAATTCCCCTAATATTAAAGTTGTTTTTCGTTATTAGTCCAGGGTCAAAAAAAGAATATTTGTTCGTTTAGGCAATAAAGGAACATTTAAAAGTTGTTTTTTTTTGTCGATAAGAGGAGGGAATATTTGTTTTGGTTTTAAGTGGGTCGGCGACAGGCTGCAAGACGGAAGGGAAATTTTTGGCTAGATTCTGGTAAAATGTAACGAAGCAAAGGAGTCGACTTAGAGATTTCAAACAGGGCAGACATGTGACAATAGAGTCGACTGAGAGATTTCAAACAGGGCAGACATGTGACAATAGAGTCGATGATTAGATTTGAAGCAGAGCAGACGTGCTACAATGTGAGTCCAAGAACCTATTTGAAATGGTGGTAGACGCTTTTTGCGGATGTGAAATGTTGGGCCATTTTTGAATCAAAGAGGATTCAATTTCTTTTGAAATGTCTTAGGACCGGTCAATGATAATACTATCAGATTTGAATAAATACCGGAAGCTTCTAAGAAGTATGATATAGGATGTCCCCGTAGTCGGCTTGATTCTTCCACTAAGTTCCTGTTCCAATCGTTTTGTCCTGGAGTGTAGAACTAGTTCCTGATGGTTGCTGCATTCCAGTTTTGAAGGTTTTGTCCGAGTAGCTTCCCCAGAGATGTAAAGTTTCAAAGTGTTTGTATAAAAAAAACATTAAGGTAACAATTCAATATATTAATTTTTCAAAGTAAAGACAGATATTTTTTGGCTAAAGTAATAATTGCTTTCATTCTTTGTCATCAAAATTAAATGTGATACCTGACAGCAAGCTTAATTTGTTTTTTTTTGTTATGACAATTTTAATTTGATAAGGTTAAATTTATATGTTTTCATTAAGAAGGATCCTTAATTTTTGATAATCTAATTGGCCATAATATAGTAAACAAAGAACATGTAAGTTTTTGTTATTTGTATTATGTTATATGATATGTTTCTTTTATAATATGTATTTTTGATCTGTTTTGTTTGAGACAAGAATAAATGTTTAATTTGTTTCTCTGATCTATTTTGAGTTTTATTTGAAAAAGATTTTTTTTTCTATATTTTTGATGTTCCATAATTATTTCCCTAGTTACAACTAGTGGTTGTAATAGGTATAATTAGGCACCTCAAGTGGAGCCCTATATTAAATTTCTTGAGGTGTTTCCGTTTATTTTCATTCTGTATGTCCCAAGAGACTTGTATAAGTACCCCTTTATTCCTTCGATTATTTTGTTTGCCCAATCTTGTCCCCCATATTCTTACCCTGTGGTAAGCAAAATAGTCGTTACACTATATTCTCATTATAATCAATGTGCACCTCGATTAGAACATTTCAAAACATGGTTCCTTTTGATGTATGTTTTATATTCGTTTATCCTGACACTTGGTAGTCGTGTTGCTTTCAGAGATTGCTTTCGTATTTTATAGATGCAGTTCTTTGATCGCCCTTGTGTGTTGTTTGGTTTGGTTTCGGTTAAAATAGATCTCGATTAGTTGGTTTTTTTAATGTGGTTTTAATTTTGGATATTGTAAACTCTTACATAAAATTTATATTTTTTGACAAACTGCCTAAACTGGCTAAAAAAGTTTAATATCTGATAATGGTACTCTAGGTTTTAGATCATTCAGAACTTTTTATAAAAAAGTTTTAAATGATCTAAAACCTAGATATTAAAAACACTTTTTAGTTTTAAGAAAAAAAGTTTTAAAAACTTGAATACAACTAAAAATAAAAAAGTTCCTTATTTGGTACAGCCTGAATTGGAGATCGCTTTATAGAGAAAAATTATCACCAACATCAAAAGAATTGTAGTCTTTGAAGTTCTTCTTCTTCTCGTGCCACTCCTAGCGGAGATTGGAAATCATCATGGTTACTGCGACTTTGTTAGCAGAGCGCCTGAAAAGTTCAATCCCGAACCATTCACGTAGATTACGAAGCCACGATATTTTTTTCTCCCCACACTTCTTTTGCCCTTAATTTTGCCCTGCATGATGTTTCTTAAAAGTTCGTACTTTTCTCCTCTCATAATGTGCCCCAAGTATTTACAGATGTATAATTTATAATATCTTTGAAGTTACAGATGTATAATTTTAAGAATTTGTATATTACAGATCATTTTCGACGATACGATTATGGAAGGGAAAAAAATTTAAAGTTATACCATACCGCAGCGCCTCCTGATTTTAATTTATCTGCAATTATAGCTCCAGTAGCTCTATATTATGCTGAAAATGATTTTCTATCATCAGTAAAGGTAAGTTTTGTGGTATTGTATTTTTAAATTTTACGTCTAATAAAATGGCAGTGCATGGCGCAATCCCCACATTAATACCGACGTGAAATCAAGAATCTAAAAAGCAACAATAAGACCAATAATGACATACACTTAAGAGACAAGACCGGATACCTCCAAAACTCAGCAACTACTTGAAACAGCGGAGATGCGTTTACTGAGGAGAATTACAGGAAACACACTGAGGGATCGAATGAGGAGTGAAGAGATTAGAAGAAAATGAAATATACCAGAAATAAATGAGTGGACACTAAACAGAAAAAAGAAATGGAACGAACACATAAACAAAATGGAAGAGACCCGATTAGTCAGAATAGCGAGGGACAAATCACCAAAAGGTAGAAGAAGCATTTTGCTTATAAAAAAGAAGAAGAAGAAGAAGAAGAAGAAATTTTACGTCAAACATTTTCAAAGGAAATATGATTAACTTTTAGGATAAAATATATGATGCATATTCTGCACCAGAATGATATAAAAAGAGTTTCTTTTGATTAAAAAACGTATTTTGAAAAAAAACGCTTATAATCTGTAAGTCAAAATATCTAATTGGTCATTTACTTTATAGATTTATTCCTTAGAATGTATTTGATAATAGTATATTTTAAAACAAGTTTAAAATTAATACTCGAACCGAATAAGTGAAAGAATTTTTAATCTGACCAAGCGAGATCTATTTATTATACAAAAGATGTATTACCTTTAAGTCTTACTCTATCAAACGCCTTCTTCAAGGCAATTAATAATAGTATGTCTATTGTATTCTATTGCTTTCTCTGTAATCTGTCTTATAACGAATATTGCATCTTTACACGACCTTTCCATACGGGAAATCTTGTTTCTCATCAGCAAGTTTTTAAGCTGATTTTGGTTGTAAGTTTCAGGGAAGTATTTAACAAATTAATGCTTCTGTAGTGTTCTGGTTATTTCTTTTTACTATTTTTGAATAATAAAATTAGCTTGCTTGTCCTCCATTCTTCTGTTATTTTATTGTCTTGTAACCTTGTTAATTAATGTGACCAGTTGATCCGTCTTTGCCGCTCCCGCATATTTCAACAGTTCATTTGGTATCTCATCTTTACCTGCAGTTTTTCTGTTCTTTAGGTTTTTAAGTGATTTTTGTACTTCTTGTTTTGCTTATATGAACTTCTTCATTTATGGCAATTTCTGGTGTTTGTGGTTTCACCATCGTTTATTGTTTTTCTATATTTAACTTTTTTGTATAGTCAATCCATACGTCCTTTTCAATGTGCTCTAAGATCTTTAATAAAGTGCCATATTTATTTTTGAAAATTGTAAAAGTGTTTCAGTTTTTAAAAAAACGTTCCCGGTTCGTTTTAATTTTTATGAGGAGTACATGTGTTGTTTCATTTTCTCAAATTTCTTATTCCTTAAGATGTAATCCTCGCACATTTTTTTTTATTTTGTTTTACATGTACTTCAGCTAAGCTTTTTATTTTTTCTTAAAAAAGACAAAGAAATAAGTAAGAAAGGTAATTTTCTACTTGTTTTAATTGCGGCATTCGCTTAATTTTGTGCCGTGAGAAATTTGAAACTTTCTACACTTGTTACACAATAAATTATTGTCTTTCCAGAGCGTTAAACTATCCGTAAAAACCAGGCATTGGTGCTGCTAGCTGATAGTTGTTACATTTTTTTAAACCGCTGTTTGTTATTGTCATTTCTAGAGATAAGTTAAACAAAGTTGTTAATAGTGTGTGTCCTGGCCTTATTCCACGTTTAGCTTGAATTTGAATTTCTGATCTTAATACATTCCTAAAGTTTGATTTTTGGTTCTACTTAGTTGACTAATAAGCCTTACCAGCTTACTTAAAACACTCAGCTAGCTCATTGTTTAAAAAAATTCTTTTGATTATTTCTGAGGTACGCTTGTTTCAAACCAAAAAATATTGAATGAGATCGTAGGCTTCCACGGCCAGAGTCAGAATTATAATTTATTCGTCTTCCGGGTTTGAACCGTGTCATTTGTGAGTGACCCAAAAGTGGGTTCATCTCGACGTTTCGCTACAATTGTATGTAGTTTCTTCAGGAGAACAAAGAAAAAGAAAAAGAAAACAAAAGACAGGAAGATGGGTAGTTAGCAACGGTAACTCAGTTACTCAACGCAACCAGAGGCGAATACTAACTACTTAGATGGGCATTTGGTCACAGTAACTCAACTACTCAACGCAGCCAGAGGTGAAAACCAAATGCCAGGACAGGAATTCACGTCCAACAGCTCAGAACACTAACGCGTCGAGAGGCGGGGAGTGAATCCGACGATTACTCTGCTACCACTCTATTTATAGTCGCGGTGACCTGTTGTGTCGGGACGTATCGGCACACTCCGTGGCGCGAACGTCAATATGCGCGCGCTGGCCAATCATGTGGCTGCATCGTGGTAGCGGGACCGGACGGAGGCTCTAGACTGAGATTCCAGATGGGAGACAAGTAGTATCCTTCCTCTCGATTGATGTTATGTGGATTTTTTCGGATCTCTAGAGATTCGCGGATTTTCCTGGAATAAAAGAAGGGGCTTTTAGAAATAATATGGGTTTTTTCGAACAATATGGAATGACCGGTTTCTTGGCAGTGTTCTGCCTTTAAAAAATATTGTATGTAACTTAATTTTATACTCAGAATAACTTATCTAAATTTCTTTTAAACAAAAATTGAATCAATGTAGATCTGTTTATCCTAAACCCAGCTTGATATTCTCCCAATAAAGTGTCCACGCACTCATTTAATTTCCTTCGCAGAATCCTGTTGAATACTTTATAATGTAACAGGTAATCAAATTAGGAAAATACATGAATGCGACCATTTTACTGGCATCTTTTCTTTTCTTAAATACACCCGTTTAATTTAGCTAATAGCTTTCTACTTACTTTTAACATTTTAAGACTTACCCTATTTGCTCTAATTATTTTTAGGTCATGAATTGTTTCCATTATTTTTTGTCCTATTAGTCTGTCTTTGATATCCTTACATTCTAATATCATTTGTTAGTTTTTGTGTACCGAACAAACTTTTTCATTCGTACATTACTTGGTCAGCCTTACTTAGCAGCATTATTTTTTTTAATCTCATATACATACCCTTGCTCCGATAATCATTTTTTGTATTTCTCTCTCCCAAGTAGAAGAAATTCATTTTTCTGCTTCGGAACTTTTCTGCTATATCTTGTTTTTTGTTATTTTACTGTTTTAAAAATGTTCTCTGTCTTCTTCATATATATATATATATATATATATATATATATATATATATATATATATATATATATATATATATATATATATATATAATAGTAATAATAATATTCCCGTTTAGATTAATGCCTTTATGATGTCACCGGGTTTAATATTTTTACAATATTGTACTTTCCATTACCCTTTCCATCACCACGCACACCACTGTACGTTAAGCTGTTTGGACATATTCGTTGTTTCTTTATGCGTTCTTAATTCTATCACGGCATACCTCACACGTTACTATTGGTCCAACAGGAGTTAATATACGTTTATTTACCTTTTTTCATACCGTCACATTTAATTTTTGTTTAAAGAAGTTCCAAAAGTATTTTCTTGTGCCCTTTTTAAGTTAAACGTTTACGTTTACAATTTTACGTTTTTTTTTGTCGTTTAGACATAGAAAATGAAACCGTTTTTAAAAAAGAATATTTCAAAATAAGTAGTTATTATAACCTATAGTTTCTTATTTGGCGCTTTGTGTAGTGTAACGGGAGGAGAGATGGACCACCTTTTCGAAAACTGAAGCCTGTTTCTTTATTAAACAAACATTAGAATAGAAAAAAAATTATATAACATACCTTAACATTCGTATTTATTTTGGTATAAGTAAAAACTACAAATTATAATTCTTAAACCTAAAAGAAAATATATGATGCACTGGCACGTCATCGGTTCATCTCTCGTCAACTGTTGAGTTGTTACAGAGATTAGCGAAGCCAATACAAGTTTCATAGAACCAGTGCTTACAAAAAATACATTGTAACCAGTCATTTTTTTTTAAATGTTTGGAGATAGATAGTCCTCGTTGCACCCAACACACTCATTTTCAATATCACTCATGTTTTTATCACCACTAGTGTCGTTTAGAGTAACATCTTCAGATAGTTTTGAGCAGTAATGTCTCCAGTTATTTTTTTACGATTTTTTTTACTGCTGCTGCCAATACAGGAACGGGAATGTTATATCTTCATCCGTAATTAATGACTTGTTTGGGCTACCGTGCAAGGGTATTTTACCACTGATTCCAGAGCGACCTGGTTGAGAAGATGCTGATCTGGAACTGGAACTCTTATTGTTTCTGTTTCTGATGGGGTGTGTGTCAAAAATGCATATTCTGGGATTATTAATGGATTAAACGGATAAATTCCCGTGGATTTGAATGCAGAAGCCGCATTTTGGACAATTGCTGAGTTTCCTCATACTCGACCTAAGATTTTACCAAACTGAAGGCGTCTTAGAACCCTGTTTGTATTATTTTGTACCATAAAACGGCATTCAGCATAAAAGTTACTTTTAAGTGACTTAAAAAAAAGCACTATCCAGAGGCTGTAGGTAACAGTGTTGTGTGAGATGACAAACAAAATAAAATTATTTCGTTTTGGTCTGCAAATTCTAGTAGATCCAGGTTAGTCGTATAGGATGTGTAGTGATGTGTATGTGATCTAATATTAATAAGGTTTTACATGGAGGCTTTCTTGGCAAAAAGCGTGTTTGTAACTATTCTAAGAAAATGTCACTGTTAACGTATGCTGATTTTTCCGGATTTATCATAAAAATTATACTCGGTCATAACTCTCTCGAGATCAAAAAATAGTTATCGACTGTTTCTTTGGACATTCCTAAAGCTCGTGCAATTGAGGTGTACTCAGTTTTTCCAATTGAAATTTCAAGTCTTTGTTCCAAAAAGAGTTCTTAACATTTTTTACCAGTTTTACCTACAAGTAGACAATAAGAAACTCTTGTATTAGATTTATGAATTTAAAAATTTACTTTGTACATTAAATTTATTTGGGATTCCTAATCGCTGAGCTAAATTAAAGGCCATGATTCTTACTTCAGTTTTGGTTGATGCAAAGCCTGTGTTTTATAGTTTTTTATATGGCTAACAATTTTAGCTTTAACAGCAGTTCATAAAGAACAATCTGGACCCAATCGGTTTATCTTATCCATATTGTTTGTTTTCATTCGACGTTTAAAAGTCATTTTGAATATTCCAAATGCTTTGGCGGCTCCAATAATACCCATATCGCCATGATTTACAGCATCTACGGCATCACTTAGCTCTCTATAGGTCCAGTTACCTCTCTTAGGTGTATTTTGTTTACGAATGTATTTATTGTGCCTAATCCTAAAACAAAACATACTGGTCCAACTGTCCCCCTCGTAAGTGGTCCATCTTTCCTCAAATAGGAGGAAAGATGGACCAGCCCGTATTGTTTAAAATAAGCAGACTACAGCAGTAGTTCTTACTCTATAATACACATTTTAAATATAGTTCAACAATAAACTAACAAATAATCGGTCAAACTCACCTGTTTTACCAAAGAATGAAATTTAAAAAACTTAAATTAAATTATCACTCGTGGCAGTTTCAATTATTGTAAATAACTTTTATACACGTACGCACCGAGGCGGTACTGGCGCCTCTTCAGCAACTAACGTTAAACAATACAACAGGATAGAATAGACTTGCCCTGTTACCAAGCTTGGTCAGGTATACCTAGCAGATCGACTATCCTCGTAGTCCATCTCTACTCCCTTTACCCTAACCAAAATTTGATAGATGAGCTACTTGGTCTCCATCTTGTCATGAAGCTTGATAGCCATGCTTTTAGTTGAAAAGTCTGATAGTGATGTTATCCCTTCAGGATGATATAAAATTTTGATTTTTGTGTGTTTATGTATCATTCTAAGGAGACAACATTAAACTCTCAGAATTTTCAACTAAAAGTATTACTATTTGACTACAAGACTTGACTTGTTTCAGAACGATTTCCAGAGTGAAAATCAAAATGTCAAAAGAAAAGTAAAATGTAATTTGTATTGCAATTAATTTTGGTTTGGTTTAATCTCATATAAACAAAATAATTAATTTTTGTTGACACCAAAATACTCTCCTCCACTCACTCTTCTAACGAGGCTTTATAGTTACGTTACGATCAGACGAGTAGACGAGACTCCCACTACAAAAGAGTCAAAAATGACTAGAGTACACATTTGAAGGTGCCATATATATATATATATATATATATATATATATATATATATATATATATATATATATATATATTTTAATTGTTTTTATTTTTAGGATGTAGAGAAATTAAAAGGTAAGTTGCCAAATGTTAACAAGACACGCCTCATCGAAAACAGAAGATGGAATCACATTGATTTCATTGTTGCTAACGATGTACATGACGTAATTAATAAAGATATAATTGCACATCAACAGACATTTATTGATGCTGGAGCTTTAACACCAAGTACAGGTGAACCGATTAGTTCCACCACAGAGAGAACCAAAGGTAGTTCAGAAAGAATTATTAGTCAAAGTATATATACATTATTTATGACTGCTATGTTAGTATTATATTATTAATAAAAATGTATTTTTTGTGAATTTTTAATTATTGGGTCTTATTTTTACACAAACTCCTGCTGTACTTAAGGCGGAAGATAGGTTTTACTTTTAATATATAAAACATATTTTTGTTTTAAAAAATATTTTTATATACCTTTGTTTTTAAAATCAGTTCATCATAGTACAACATTTCAAGAGTATTATCTGAAATTTTGGTAGAAAAATATTAAAAATTAAAAAAATGACAGCTAATTTTCCAAGATAAAGGTTTTCAAGACAAAGTTACTTTGCGGTGTTCATCGTTCAACTTATTACTGGATTATCTGGACGGTATTTTGCAACAACCGTCTAACCCACATTTGTTTACAAATGAGGTTAGATGTGTCAAACTGTCGATCATGCATACTACATCAACCAAAAAGATACAAGCCATATCCATACTCATGGAGGCGTTAGTGAACAAAGTTCTAAACCACATTCGTCAAGTAATATGAAAACAGAAATTTTTAAAAATAGTCTAACCCATGTTTTCATTATAAATATGTGAGTTAGACGCTTGTTGCAAATATTTGTAAGGGTCTTTTCATTGTGTACACCAAATGCAAAATATTAAATTGAACAAATTTTTATTTTGACTTATTTTGATTAAAAGACGAGAAATTTATTATTACACTAATATTACAATTTTATTTAAATAAATAAAATTGCACCAAACTAGAGGCTTTATCTTTAATGGTAAAATACGAAAGTATATTATTTAAAACTGTGAATTTTCTGTGTTGTCAGCTCGCCAATTGATTAAAGAAATTTTTAAATTCCTTTTATCGCAGATAGTGTACCGAAAAGGTAACATAATATGTTTTGTGATTACTCGAACGTTGGTGCCATAAATGCCGACAAAAAATTACATTTATCAAATAACGAAACCAGTTGTTCATTATATAAAATATTGAAACTGTTGTTTGATAGTCAAAATTCTGGTCAGCAAAATATTGTAGGAATATGATAGGAATATTATAAGTATGATTTGGAAGAATTTGGGTTAAATCCTGATTTCGAGATTGACCAAGATTAAATAAAGATGATAAACAGTTGCGAACCCATAGTTTGGAATTCACCAAATCATCCAGAAGCATACATAAAAAATATAGCCGAAACTTTACAGAGTAATAATCCCAACTCAATAACAGACTCGGTTAGAAACGCACAACTCAAATTTTGCAAGAAAAATGACACCAAAAGTGAAAAGATTGGCAAAAATACAAAGGCCCTCATGGAAATACGACAAAACCTAAGCCAGAACAAAAAGGGAAACAAAGAAGAATTATAAAAACTAAAAAATAATTTCAGCGGAAATTACAAAAGATGTAAGAAGATATAATACTAATGCAATTAATCAAACAGTAGAAGTGAACAAAGGTTTAAAGATAATGAAAAGAAAACTCACACAAAGTAAAAAAGAAATATACAAGCTGAGATATAAAGACGGAAAGTCGAAAGACGAAAGACGGAAACAACAGATAAACAAAATATTCTGAAAATAACCAAAGAGTTTTATAAAGACCTCTATACCAGCCAAAGACCACTAGACAATTTCCCGACACGAGTAAAGACTCTCATAAATCAGGGATCAGAAATACTTTTACCCATTACTGTGTCAGAAGAGCAGCTTTAAAGGAAATGAAGAACCATCGATCGCCTGGTGATGATGGACTCGTTATCGAGGCAATAAAAGCAGGAGGAGAAATTTTATTAAAATCAGTGAGCGATCTGTTTAATAAATGCTTACATGCGCGTACGATTCCAAAAGACTGGAACAACGCAGTAATAGTCTTGTTACACAAAAAAGGCGATATTACTAAATGAGAAAATTATAGACCCATCAGCCTCTTGACACATATGTACAAACTCTTTATGAAAATCTTAACAGAGAGGCTAACACCTAAACTTGATTTCTATCAGCTCAAAGAACAGGCAGGCTATAGGACAGAATATGGCACAAATGACCATTTGCATACCATAAAGATCTTAATAGAAAAGTGCATCGAGTACAACATACCACTGGTTCTTGCATTTGTCGATTACGAGAAGGCTTTTGATTCTGTAGAGTTTGAAACAATACTGGAAGCCCTAAATCAAAGTCAAATAGATTACAGGTACACGACACTAATCAAAAACATCTACGAGAACGCTACATCAAGTAAACGACTACACGAAGACACAGAAAAATTCAGCTTAGTTTGAGGAGTTAGACAGGGAGACAATATTTTACCAAAATTGTTCACGGTAGCTCTAGAGTCAATATTTAAGAGCACTCAATGACAAGATATGGGCATCAATATAGATGGAGAAAGATTAAATCACCTAAAGTTTGCAGATGATGTTGTATTAGTCGCAGATAATTTACATGATACAGTTTCTATGATGCATTCGCTTAAAAGTCTGTCTGAAAGAGCAGAATTCAAGATAAACTTTGAGAAAACTAAACTTATAACAAATCTAGTAACAAATCTGACAATAATACCATACAACAAACAGACACTTACAAATATCTGGAACACGAAATAAAAATAAGCAGAGACAATCAAACACATGAAATACAGAGGCAAATAGGCCTAACATGGGCAGCATTTGGCAAATTAAGCCATATTCTAAAAAGTTCAATTCCCATGTGTCTCAAGCGAAAGGTTTATAACCAATGTGTTTTACCTGTACAAACTTATGGAGCAGAGACTTTAACACTCACGAAAAAATCTGCGAATAAACTCAGAATTACACGTGCAATGCTGAACGTGAGCTTTCGAGACCGCATAACAAACCAACAAATCAGGCACAGATCAGGAGTTCAAGACATCATCGAAAGAACCACGACGCTTAAGTGGAACTGGGCAGGGCATTTAGCCAGAACACAAGATGGACGGATGACAAGACGTATTATGGAATGGAGGCCCAGAAACTATAAAAGAAGCCGAGGACGACCACCGACTAGATGGACCGATGATATAAAACGTGTAGAGGGAAACTGGCTACAAGCGGCCCAGTGTAGAGAACATTGGAAAGAACTGAGGGAGGCCTATGTCCAGCAGTGGACGCGATTGGCTGATTGATGAAGATTAAATCTAGTAGGAATTTAATCCGTAACAGTTATTTACTTTTACTAATGAACTCGAATTCAAAGTTTTTTTGTGTATTTACCATTTTGGAGGGATAGACGGATATTTCAAAATGACCATTTATATTTTTACAGTTTTGCAAAAACCGTCTAAGCCGCTTTAAGTTGTTTTTGCAATAAACTCGTTTTACTTATTTTGCTTTTGTACGTTTTTTTAGATAGCCTGTAATTATTGAAATATAAAAATGTGAAATTAAAGCCTTATTTTCTATCAGTGAATTTCTTAAAGTAGGTAGACATACTATGCTCATTAACTCTGAACCATGTATATGTGGCTTAGACTATTATTGCAGAACACTCTATGAGTATCTCTATCCGGATGTAGAAAATATTTTGGTGTTATTTTCATTCTTATTTTTGCTATAATCCTTTTACCCTATGACGGCCGATATGTAATTAGGATATGATGAGTGGGCCTCAAACAGTGAGGCGTTAATATTTAATTACGATCGCTTAAAAAGTAAAAATATTTAATTTCCTGTATTTTATGTTCTGTTATAATATTGCATTTTACTGTATCAAAGGCAAATAAAATGAATATAATATGTATATACAGGGCGTGTTAAAAGAAGTAGGACGAAATATTTCGAATACTCGAAATTATTTGTCGACATCAAATGTTTGTCAAGGTCTCTAAAAGTCTCTATTTTGCGTAGAGTGAAAATTATATGACTAATTTTGTATGCAGTTAAATTGAAAAATAATTGTCAAGTTGAAATACCAAGTTAAAACCTTGAAACAAATTGGCACTAAATCACTTCCGAGTTTTCAGCAAAACAAAATGTTTAAGCACGTATACTCCAGTAATTAATACCACAGCTGTTGAGAGTATGCAGTCCAGTAATTAGACCAAGGGTACTTTATTGTTTGAAAGAGAAATTGAAATGTTTTATGACGATGTATCCACTGAGCTTGATGATTCTCGTACTCAATTCACAATTTTATGTGGCGATTTCAACGCAAAAATAGGGGTAAAAGAAGCAGATCTAGAAACATCTTTAGGACAATTCGGTTCCCCAGGAAGAAATGATCGAGGAGAAAAGCTACTAGGATTCCTACTCCAGAATAACTTATTCAACATGAACAGTTTCTTTCACAAAAATATGCACAGAAGAAGGACTTGGGAAAGTCCAAACGGTTGAACAAGGAACGAAATCGACTACATCATAAGTGATCAAAAACAAATAACTAAAGATGTAACAGTACTCAACAAGTTCACCACAAACAGCGACCACAGGTTGATACGAGCGAAAGTTCAAATCAATATAAAAAGAGAAAGGAATATAATGATTAAAAATAAATTTCATGGTATCTGGACACCCCCATTAGATATCAACCAATATCAGACACATATCAATAATAAGCTTCTATTGCAGGAAACCTTAGGTAACGATATTAATGACTTGAATAACTGCATCATAAACGCCTTACAAGAAAGTCACCGAGTGCACTGTCCTAAAAGAAAATCAGATAGTAAAATAAGTACATATACTGAAACGCTCTTGGATCAAAGAAGACAAATGAGAAGCGATAAGAATGTAGATAGCAACACTTTAAGAAAAATTAACAAAACTGTTTCGAAAGCAATTAGGAGAGATTTAAGGAAATTTAATGCCGATTATATTAAACGCACTATAGAGGAAAATAACAGACTAAAAGTTCTACGTAGAAAGCTAACGAATGGGAAATGCGAAATTCATAAATTAAGAAACAAGCAAAATGAAATAATATCACGCAGAGACGAGTTAATACAGGTCGTCGAAGAGTTTTACGAGGACTTATATAGAAGTAGACGAGAAGATAAAACAGGAATATAAACAACCATTTCAAAGAAGATCAAGAATCAAGGTTCCGAACTAATGCCAGAGATAA